GGAAACTCGGTGATTTTGAATCAATTATTTGAATCCAATCGGAAAGAATTCATTTATGCATCTGATAAGTATTTACAATTTTTCCTCATACTTCACTATAAACCAGAGAACTTAAATTTCTGCCCGAGAGGTGAACTCACTAACCGTACCACGACCGGTTTTAATTGATCGAAAACCGTGCACTTGTTATCCCCGGTTCTCGCTAAAAAAACAAACCTAAAAATATGCAATTTACTTTTATCATTATCCAAAGCCTATTTTCTGCGTTGTTTCAACACCTGTGTTCCTTTCGAAGAAAATCTGACTACTTCATAACCGGTCATGTGACCGGCCACGGTAAGTGTTTCGGTTGGTATTAAAACGCGTCAACTTCCGCGTGAAACTCCCATGGAAACCGGGCCGTAGGGGTACGGTATAAAATTGTACGCGTCTGCGCGCACAGCTCTGCCGAGAAAACACGTTTCCACGCCTATGCATCAAAACGAACTGACGTACGAGTAAGTATATACATACATACCACGTGTCCTATCCTCGCGTGACTAGGTATTGAGAGCACGTGGCCCCCCACCACGCGTCCCTCGGGTCCGGCGGACGCTGTCGAAAAAGGAAAAGAGAAGACGGGCGTAAGTACTGGATACCGCGAGGGGCAGAAGAGAACAGAGGCCTAGGGGGAGAGAAGCTTTCAGAGGCTGACGAAGAGAATTCAGGAAGAATAGGTGGCAACTTGGGCGAAAGCGAGAGAAGAACACACTGTCTCAGACAAAGTGAGAGAGAAATATAACGGAGAAGATACGAAGAGTTGGCGAAAAAAAAAAGAGAAAAAAATGTTCACTTTTATATATTTCGTGAACACGTAGGAAGTTCCTATTGATTTTTCATTTTACACGCTAACGTATATAGTTGCTATTCCGTGCAAGCCGTTAGACAAATGGCTACGCTACTCCTTCTATAGCTGTTACGCACCATTACGAATTGCGCGCTTTGGTTGCTGGAAGATAAATGGATCTCCATCCTTAGGTTCGGAATCTTCCACTTATCATCGCAGTGGCGCAACAAGACAGAAAAATGTCGTATTTCATGTCGCTGTCCAAGTGTACAACGAGTATACGCGCCAACCGAGATAACGAGTATATGTATATTCGAATAATTTAATAATCGAACGATCGTGCCACTCGACATTTCTATCTCACCGTTTGGAATACATACATATGTAGGTAGATTACCATGATAACACGAAAATTCGATATTCTCGAAAAGTAGGCGGGTATAGAAATTTCCGACCAGGAAGCAGACTCTTCGAACTTTGTAAATATCGTGAGTAATCAATGTCGCGCAAGGTCATTTTCTAATATCTTAAAAACAAACTCGACGACCTTAATTATTTACAATCACCGCTGCACTCTTCGTCTAAAAGATAAAAATACGTAACTCGTGTGAAAAAAAAACCAAGTTAACCTTGAAACTTCTTTCTTCACCGCAGTCTATAGCGAGACACTTGATCGAAACGTTCGACATAATCGTTAATAATCACCCATGAAATGTCAAAGTAGAAGAATTTCTCAAAGTACCTATATCCATCGTCGAAACTTTCATTCTTATTTCAATAATTATTATTCCCACAGGAAGTTTCCTTCGATAACGCCCAACTCTAGACAGCGAGTAGGTGACACACACAGACACACACAGATAGGGTCTCTGGGAGAGAAAGGACGGGGAACAGAAAGAGCGGAGCACACGAAGGTTGTCAGAAGAGAAAGGAAAGGAATAGAGAGATGGGATTGGAATAAAAGAGTGACCGAGGGGTGGAAGGAAGGCAGGAACAATAGAGGAGGAACTGTGCGCGCGGCGCGGCGGTCGAGTAAAAGGTGAGAGGGAGCGAGAGAGAGAAGACGGAAGACAAGGGGGGGTCGATAGTTGGCCGAGTTGGCGAGAGAGCCGGTTGTGTAACAAAGGAACGAACCAAGTAACAAGAATCCCAAGGTGCATTCGTCGATTTACTCAGGCTTCCTTCTAACGCGCGGCGGCGGTTCCGCTGATAAATCAGCCGACTCTGTGG